ATTTAAGGCGTCACGGTGTATCGCGCGGTAAGACCCCTTTTGCGAGGTCGCGACGAAGCGCGAGCTCGAAAGGCGAATCGCTACAATAAGTCAGTCTGTACAAAAGTCTGTCAGTCTTTCAGGAATCCCGATCGACTTGTAACGTTCCCCGACACGGCCGTCGTATTTCATAACAATAGAGAGGTCGTTGGATCGTTATATTTCTTTCTCCTTCTCTTAATTCCTCGCCTACCGAGTCAAGATAAATAAAACCGAGAATCTATCACCTGATAAACAAGTGAGTCTTCTTTCGAGTTCGAGAATTCGCTTTCTGAGAACGTTTCTCTCCAGCGTCTTTAATGTAGCCGCAACGATATACAAGCCGTTCGCTTTGATCTCACTTACCGTTGAGGTACGGAAGACACGAGGGTCTGACCTGGCACAAACTAAAACGCAATATGCACTCGGCGGCGTGAATGCGAGCACCGACAGCCGCTGCGCGCAACAGCGATTTTACGCGGCCATGGCGCGGAATGGCGCAAGGTGGTGGCCGAAAGAGTCCGACGGGGGCATAACCCGGTCCGGGGATATGGAAATGTTATGGAAAAGAGGTCGGACGACGTTTCCACGTGCTAAGGGCCGGCGGCCGGTCGGCACATGTGGAAACGATTCCTGGGGTCGATCGTCTTCGTCACGGTGGTCGAAAACCGTGCAGATGCGTGGCTTTAGCGCGAACCCTCCTCGCGTTACAGAACGTTGGACGCTCATCAGGCCCCCACGGCGTGCTGTCTGAGCCTCAGCCTCATGGAACTCAGTCTCACGGGCGTCCGCTTTACTTCGTTTTTGAAATTCCGCTGAAAAGTCGAAGACATCGATTTTCACGCGCGATGATAATCGCCCCCTTCTCGATATCGGCTGGGGTTCCAAAAGCAAATTTAGACAAATTTCTCATTTCAATTTTCCACGTGAGACACATAATTTGGCGCTCGAGTTTGCCGTAAGGGCTTTCGTTCATGGCGACCTTAATACCCACGGTCTTCTCACGAAAACGAGGAGAATTCCAAGTCGCCGACTGGACTCCGTCGCCATCGCCGATCCTCCGCCGTAAGCCGTCGGACTTTTTCCTTCGGACCGCCGACAACGTCCGCATCCGAGCGACAGATTTATGAGCACGCTGCCGTGTCCTTGTTTACATCCTCGCGCGTTTACATGACTCAGCGGCGAGAGTCGACGGGGTCTCCGCGCTGGTGAGAATTTTTGGCCGGGGGATTCCCGGTCCGTGCGCGATTGCGTAGCTCTTGCGAGAAAATGGACAGTAAGAAGAGCGAGCGACAACGACGAAAACGACGAAGGCGACGACGACAACGGCGGTGGCGGCTTTGGAGAACAAAAGTGCTGGAAGGGACGTGAGGACGGAGGGTGTCGACGCGGGTGTCATTGCGCGAGAACGACGGCTGAAACACGGCGAAGGGAACGCGCCTTCAGGCCCGCCTAATAATTCTCCGCGGGCGACGCGCGACGTGTACGTGTCACGGCGTCGCGACGCGCGCGTCCGTCTCGTCGCGGCTGCAACAACGAGAACGCTCGAGCTCTCGCCGGTTGCTCGCGGCTTATCTCCTCCGTCGGACAACGAGAAGACAGTCCAAGGGGTCGGAAGTCTTGGGGAATTGCACACATCGGATTCCGGTGATTTCAATCGGGGCGAGGCGGGATTCGCGCTCGTTGTGTTACGACGAATTATGAGCGAACGCTCGCAGCTACGCCGGCGCGCCTTACTCTTTTTGTTTTTTCTTACACGACGGACGTGAGGCGTTGTTCTCAAAAAATCGCAGAAGGGAAAATCATGCCGTTGAATTTCCTCGTCGCTATGGTATCTGATAACGACGTATATGTTGTTTCAAACTGCTGTAAATTCTTTTTGCTACATGCGCGAAAGCGGTTGCGAAGCAGATCGAAGCAATTAGGAATTTCTTTGAGTGATACCGTCGAAACTTGTCTGTGAGGTTCTTTTACGTGGCGAATCGCAAACGAGACGAGAGGCAACGAGTTTAATTCTGCTATAGTCCGCTCATTATCAAGCTGAGCCATTTGTTATTTAGCCATTTACTTTGATTATAAATTCGCCCGGACATTTAGTTGCATTGAAACTCGATTGAGATATACTAAATTGAGAGGAAATCTTTCAAATTTTTACAAACGAATTTTTCTCTGAACCTTGAAGAACAGAAAATTCAAAGTTGCATCAACAGAGTCGTTTCTTCCGATTTAGACACGATAGTATACATATATGATAAAATATGAAAACTTAAGTATTATACTAATTATACACATCGCAATGTCATAGACCATTAGGATCCACGTGGATCTGTCCATTATTTACGCGATAGCGTGAGGACGCTGACGCCACGCTACCGCCAAAGCTCTCTCGTCGGAGCGCCCGTTCTCAGGAGGGAGCGCGCATAAAATTCTGCACACGCGACATTCTGCGCATAAAACGCTATCTTTGCGCCGTAACGAGGTTATTCGTGTCTCCTATGAAAAATAGGCAAACGCAACTTGGGAACGTTACGGCATCCTTCCAGCGTAGAATTACAGATCCGACGCGCCTCGCCGCATTCGGAAGCCCTCTGACGAAATTGTCCTCTGAGCGATGGCGGCGTTAAGTGTTCATTAATTGAACCGAATCGCGCTCTGTGTAGCACGCACGGTCAGCTGTCGGCACTCTGTCGTGCGGCTTTTAACGTACTTTCGCCGTAAAATTACCTTCTTCTCTCTCTCTCTCTTTCTCTCTCTCTCTCTCTCTCTCTCTCTTTCTCTCTCTTCTGCTTACTTCTTCTACACTACTTCTCTTGCCGGGCCGCGAGCGAAACTCGTTCTCATAAACGGGAAAACGAGCAAGCTCGCCGTGCCGACGGGATCAGACTACTCTAGTTTGACGAGCTTAATTGCACAAGTCAATCTCACATTATTTTTAATTACACGGCGAATCGCATCACTCGAGTTTATTTTTCGACCTTTGCGCCGAAACGCAAGTTGCTCGTGCACTCGTCTCTTCTTGGTATGCGATTAAAAGAGGTTGTAGAACTAAAGTTCGATTAAAGAGAATTTCGTTTGCTCGCTGATATGACTTGAAATCGCCCTCATTCGTAGTTACAAACAATTGCTCGGTCTCTTTTCGACACTCGGACCTATTAATCTCTTTGAGAATGAGACTGGAGACGCGATGAGTGCGACATCGTACTAAAAGGTCCTAAAAATATTTTTATCGCGCTATAAAACTTCGCTCTCTTGCTGGTGTCTTGACGAGCCGCCTCGCCTCGTGGAGTTATATTTTCGAAAAAATTATCTCGGTTTTTGCGTATCGATCGATCGCGCCCCTGGAAGAGGAAGTAAAATTAATTAAGCTAATCACGCCTCGCCGATTCGAAGAATTCTCGATTTCAAAGAGGGCTTCCGAGAAATCCCAATTTCCCACGGGGAGGAAATCACGAAGTGCTGAACTTCCTTTTCCCGAAGAGACAAGTTTCAAACGATGACTGTTAATACGAGGCGAACCGTCTCACACGAGATACTCAGATCCGAGTCCATAGTTTCATGCGAATTTCTCAGTTATAGATCGCAGTTACAAATGTAATTTGTAACATATATTATTTAATTAAGCAAGACCGCGCACACACACACACACACACACACACACGTCTGTCGTACGATTCAATTGAAGGATTCGCAGATCTAACTCCAGATTCAGATCTGAAATTTCAAATTGATCTCGCGCGAGACTAGCCTCAAGCAACAATCGTTGATGAGAGGCTGAAGTTCACGGCGGAACCAGCCGTTAATCGAGAGGCAGGGCGATCTTCCGCTCGGCACTCGTACTTTATCCGAATCATCCGGAGTGAACCGACGCTGTGTATCGGATATTGTCGGGGTTACTCGACACCCTTATGTAATGAGACTCCAGCCGCCGCTTACGGGATAAGGAGAAGGATGCGAGAAGGAGAAAGATGTGAGAAGAGAGGACCTGTGTTCTCTGGTTTATAAGAATTGCCGCTGGAACGTGTCCTTGAAAGTGGAAACCGTCGTGGCGCCGGCGGCGCTCGGTCGTCGACTGTTATCGTACATCACCGCGAACGCGTGATTTTTCTCGTTAACACGTTTAACGCTGTGACACACGAGCTGTGTCGCGCGATCAACGATTTATGTGTATCGTCCCGTCCCGTCGAACTTCCGTGGAATTTGACACTTTAACGTCGCTCGTCGAGCTTCTCTCCTCTCGTCTCGTCTCGTCGACAATTTACGGCGAATGACCGGTCGGTTTCTTCTCGCTTTTAATCGCGGCTCGCGCCTTGCTTGTAACTCTGTAGTATACAATTGTATTGCTTGTTTATAAATTTTATTTTTGTTGTTTAGAACTTGTTGCTTGTAACTTGTTTACGACCTGGACGTTTCTTCCGTTGATCTTGAGAGTCTATTTCGCTTTCGTTTTCGTCCGCTCTCTCGTCCATTTAAACGCGTACCTGCATCTGCCTCTTTCATTGCGTCCCAATTTCTCTCTTTACCAAATATAGGCAATCTTGCGATTCATACTAAAAGAGAAAATATCGTGAATATGAGAAAATTATGGCGCACACGGGGTTGTACCGCCGGATCGACTTCCTGATACAAAAATAAATCGATTGCCTCACCGTACGCGCGCTCGGTGCGTCGCGGCGCCTCTCGATAAAAAAGCGCGTGCACATACGTCCCTTCGCTTCCGAGGGCCTCTCGATCTGCGTAGCTGTTTAGAAACCAATGAGCTTCTAATGAAGGTGGAGCTTGCTGCGGAAATCTCCACCTACTTTTAAAACGCTCTATTTCCCTCCGCTCGTCGGCGAAGAGCGGCGGCACAGACCGAGAGAAGATTGAGGAGAACGAGGGAACACACGAGAGAGTAAGAGAGAAAGAGAGAGAGAGAGAGAGAGAGAGAGAGAGAGAGAGAGAGAGAGGGACTGAGAAAGAGAGAAAGAGAGAGAGAGAGAGGCCGATGAGGACCTTTAAGTATGTCTTAACTCGGCCAAGTCAGTTGGCATCCCGCCGCCCCGAGCAAAATGACGCTTTCATTTTCGAGCGTTTCGTTTCCCGCAGCAATCTCGCGGCCGAGCATCACGATCGACGCGTCGTAACAACGGCGACCTCGTCGTTGTCGTCGTTGTCGTCGTCGTCGTCGTCGTCGCCGCCGCCGCCGCCGCTGTAGTAGTATCTTTAAACCATCTGGAAAAACTGTGAACTCTTCAGAGTTACGTGCATGTGCGCTCATCATAACGCGAAACTCAACAGTGTGTATATACGTATACGTATTTTTCCTCTGTCCTCTCTCTTTCTTTCTCTCTCCCTCTCTCTTGCACGCACGCACTTACGCACGCGAACAGGATCAGGTATCGTCGGAAAGCTCTGGAAACGCAGGAGGAACTCTTGCCAAGTTGTTTGTCCGGTGAGATAAAAATTCGTCCGAGAGGAAGTTGCGCGAGAGTGTGAGCGGAAATGGAGCGATTCGAGGTATCAGGTACGTCGGCAAATCTAACTGCCGAAGTTGGAAGGGGATGAGATATTAACCGAGCTCACCGAACAGTGGGAATCGCTCTCCGACCGATGAGAATGTGCTCGCGGTCTAATTGTGCGTGATGAGTGGTCGAGTAAGGTCGAATTTTTGCGGGAGCTTGAGAATCGGGGCGAGAGTGACATCTCGATCGGTGTGTATCGCGATATTTGACGGACAAGAGACTCTTTGTGTTCTGTCTCGACGATCGTTGATTCCCATCGCGTAATTGCGCCAAGATTATCCGCGACTGAGCAGCGAGTTATTACACCATGATAATGAATGAACACGTGAAGTTGGGGATTATTAGTCGAAGATGGTTGCACGTCAAAACGGAGAATAGCAAACGCGAGAAATCTACTTACGATAATATTTTCATGATCGATGATCGTAAAGCCGAAGTGGCAGATTCGTGACCGTCCTCGCGCGATGAAACCGTCAATTGACGGATGGTGCGCTGCGATTTGCGGGTTAATAAGCTTAATCGACACTCGATAAGAATCGCCTCAGCTAGGCTATTGGTGGCCCAGCGTAGGATTCAAATCGGGAGATCTTCACGATCACGAATCTATCGTCGCTACGGCAAAATTATCAATTCGTCACTTTGCAACGTTCATTTTCGCCGGTGCGCATTTTCGCGACCACGAACTCAAACCGCAGACCGCAAATATTCGAAGTGAGACTGAGAATTGGCTCTCCTCCTTCCCTCTCTCCCTCTCTTCTCTCTTTTTCTCTCTCGCCGTCTCGCTCTCTAAAATTCTAAATTAACCGCTTGAATATAATACGGTCGAAGGACAGAAGAAATAAAAAGTTCGCGATGTCTACTTAAAAAATTAGCGACCTCGGGAAAAATACTCGACGGGCTAGAAATTATGGTCACACGATAATTGGCGAACGACGTACGAACATACGACGATGCGATCGTGACGAGAGCCGCGACAAATCGCGACCGATCGGCACGTGCGCGCGAATTTTCTTCAAGTACACGGCAATCGGCTGATGCTGCTCGCAAATTGATCGGAATCAGCACATTTCTCGCGACAGCGCAAAAGAACCGCGACACCGCGCGTCCGGACGGGTTTTTCGGCGGCGATACGGCCGAGATATGAACGAGTTTCCAACGACGGCCACCGCCGGGCACTTTGAAACCGCTGGCACGTGGCCCTAATTGCGCCGTCACGCTCGGGCTCGGAAACGCTTCAATTAACATTTCCCGAGACAAATTACGCATAAACGAGCTGCGGTTCTACGTACGTATCTTACGCGTCGCCGTAAATAATTGCCCTTTAACGACCCGGAGTTCGTTAAATCGATAGAACGTTTTCTCTATCCTCCCCTCCTCTACCCGCAGATCTCTCGATGAAGACCTCTCGCCGTCTTAACGAAGAGCGAGTGCGTTGACATCTTTTGCTTTTCTTCTCTTTTCGAAGCGTGAGAAATTCTGCCAAACTCTGTAGCAAAGAACAACGCACGAGCACGCGTCTCGCGGGCGCTCGAGTCGTCTCTCTCTCTCTCTCTCTCTCTCTCTCTCTCTCTCTCTCTCTCTCTCTCTCTCTCTCTCTCTCTCTCTCTCTCTCTCTCTCTTTTACAACATTTACATTATAAATATAATACTTCGGTTGAGTACACGGTCCAAAATAAACGGGTTCGTCGCGACGATGTATCTCATCCTCTCTTTCTCTCTCTCTCTCTCCCTCTCTCTCTTGATTTTTTTCGGAATTGATCTCGTGCGACGGCGCATTTTCACTTATTCGCAGTAGCGTCCCGCGAATTGGCTCGTGCGGCGTGCTTTCTCATATTTTGAGTTTCTACAATTCCGAGCCTCGCTAATATTAAGTTTCTGGCTGATATTCCGAGGTCCGAGCACTGAATAATCACGTCGCGTGAAATTAAACCGCGACTCCGGTTACGCTCGGCCGTCCGGCCGTCCGTCCGAGTGTGTCTCTCTCGAACTGACTCGTTCGCGGTACAACGAACCGCGTTTCTTCTGGCCGTTTCTTCTCAACTGTGCCCATTTTTATTATTATTTTTATTTTTATTTATAATGCATTGGGCCTCGGAAAATCGTTTCGGCGACGCGTGAAGGCGTACTCCACGGCCGAAGAGGCTGGAGAGAGAGAGAGAGAGAGAGAGAGCGAGAGAGAGAGAGAGAGAGCGTGAGAGGGAAGCGAGTCGAAGGCGAAGAGAACGATTTACGCGCATATGTGACGCCGGTCCCAACCTTAGATCACCTTTTCTCGCAGGTGAGATTTAAACGGGGCGTCGCGCCGCCACGATCCGAGACGGGATGCCCGCGTTGCGAAAGCGACCGGCGATATAAATACGCGGAGGAGAGACGCTTTAAAAAATTAAAAAGCCCGCCTTCTCATCTCGCGAGGGCGGAGGACTTGGCAATGAAATCGTATTGATTGTCATGCCGGCGTGAGGAAGAGGAAAAAGGCGCGCAGAGAGCGAGGAAAAATGTTAAGTGTGGACGCGGAGCAGCAGGGCGCGAACAACGGCGTGATAGTGTCGCAGCTCGCGAATTCGCACGCGCCGCAGGACTTCACGGTCTCGCGCCTGTTGTCCACGCCGACGCACTCCTTAGGTAAGAGAAACAAATTGAAATATCTCATAAAGATGTGTAACCAAGTTGAACCGAAAATATACATACGCACACAATGAAGATGATATTATAAATAAATATCACAGAGCCGCACTAGCTAAGAATTGTGCTCGAACTCTTCTCTCTTGCTCCCAACAGGATCATCCGAGCACAGATCGAAAAAACAATTAACAGAAAGACATTTAAGGACAATTAAGCTGAAGCTAGCGAGAAGTCGAAAATGACCGGTTTGTAATTTTTTGTAAGAATTATTCAAATCTTACGCTACGATGCATTCTTCTATTTTCAATGAGCGCTAAATAAAACTGAAAGAAGCAAATCAACATTTTTGCATTTTATGACGTTGAAATATTTAATTTCACGGGAGTTTCAATAATATGTTCGTGACCTTGATCGATTCCGAAAATTTGCATATTTGCACCCAGCAAATGTTACTTTTCGAATCGATACCCGCGTCGAATGATCTCATCGCCCTCCTCCTCCCTCCTCCCCGACGTTTAATCCGCGGCTCACGACGCACTTGATTTCATCGAAATCGCGCATTTCCAGTCATGCTGCTCGCATTATGCCGCTTTGATGAACGCTCAAGTATAGTGGAGTCATTCAAAGAATGACCGCGCTTGTAGCCGAGACCCGCGCGCTCCCTTTTTCTCCTTTTTTCTTCTTTTTTTTTCGGCGCAGACCGTCGTATCGCGAGCGGCATCTTCGACGCTCGTTTCGGTACGGCGGATCGTCGAGAAATAATTTCGCATTCTTCTCGCGGCAGCGTTTTTGCGCGCGCAAGATGTAACTCCAGAGTGTGATCGACGTGCTTTCGTTCCGCAAACCGAGGGGCTCCCAAACTCCTCTAGTTAGGGGAATTGCTTTTACACTTTTCCGTGAAATACGAGTGTAGAAGTCGAGAGGAAAGTCATAAAACTTAAAATTGTTACGATTGCTGTTAGAAAGCTTATAAAATTGTTACAATCGAAACTTGTGAACTTTCGATCAATTATCGATGATGTGATCGTACAATTATCTAATGCATATAATAACATAAATTATATAACGTGGTCAAGCCATTTTCATATGTCCTTTTTCAGTTTTTTAAATATTTTTTGTAATGTTTATTGTTAAAAAATTGATACTTCTCGGTAATCTCAATCTCAATCAGTGAGAGGAGGATGATAACCACATGTCGTCGCTTTGTGGCATTTATCTACGGCATTTATTTATTTGCAGATTGTAACGAAGCCAGCTCTGCTGCTGGAAACAGGAGACCCAGAAGGAGCAGAACGACCTTCTCGGCGCAACAGTTGGCCGCGTTGGAAAGGGTATTTGAGAAGACGCATTATCCTGACGCGTTCGTTCGCGAGGAGCTTGCAACTAGGGTATCTTTAACGGAAGCCAGAGTGCAGGTAGGATACAAGATATGAAACATAAATATCACGTATCTTCTAATATTTCGAATCCCTAGTCGCAAGATTAGTCACATCAGAATTATTGTGCGAGTTCTTAAGTAATAATTTCGTTCACAATGATAGTTCTCCCGCTGTCGGCAAAAGAGCCTTCAAAAGCGTTCTCTAGACCTTCACGTTATTCGAAGAAGGACATTTAATGTTTGACGAATCAAATTAGCCGAAAAAAAGGTGTGAGGGGGCGGGGGGATAGCAAATGCGAGAGTAAAAAAGAAATAATTCAAATTTGCTGCTCCCTGCGCACATCGAGCGATCGCCATCCTCGCTGGCGCGCGGTATCCCGCGCGAGGATGTCAGAATGTGGCGGAACGATAAACCCCATCTCGAGAGACACATGCACGCACATGCACACACAACGAGCGACCGACCGAGATCAAGCAAGCAAGCAAGCAAGCAAGCAACCGAGCGAGCAACCAACCAACCGATCAACCAGCCGAGCCACCGCGCCAGCGGACCGCTCTTTGAAGCCGTCTTCCACTCGGCAGGCGAGAAGACCGACCGGCCGTCCGGGAAAGTATCACGATGCGCACATGTGTCACGAGCGCGACATCAGTAACACGAGAGCAAGGAGGCCGAAGAGGCAAGAGAAGAGGCAGAAGAAGAAGATGAAGAAGATGAAGAAGCAGGAGGAAGAGAGGCAAGCGGAAGGTGGAGGTCGCGGATAGCTAGGCAGAAAATCGGAGGAGACAGGTTGTCAGAGCGAAGAGCTATGATTAGCCGCGCGCGCTCGCGTCTCCTCCTCGCATCTGCGGCCGCCGTCGCCGCCGTCGCCGCCGTCGCCGTCGCCGTCGCCGTCGCCGATGCCGCCAACGTGCCAACGTGCAACATGCGTGCATCATGAGAGAAGCACGTGTGTGTGTCGCGTTGCGTTGCGTCGCCGTCGTCGTCGTCGTCGTCGTCGTTCAGCCCGTGTTGTGCAGTCTGTCTCTCCTTCTGTCTATCTGTCTGTCTGTCTGCTGCGGCGTCGGCTGCCAGGAGCCGTCACGCTGGTCCCGTCTTCGGCCGCGCGCGCCTTCTGCTGAATCCTTCCGCCTCTCTCTCTCTCTCTCTCTTCCTCTCTCTCTCTCTCTCTCTCTCTCTGTATGTGTGTATATGTGTATCTCTCACGCAATGTCTTCGTTTCTTCGACCTTCCCGAGAAAATATTAGATTGCTTTGCGCTCATTGCAAGTTTATTAACAGTCGGGAGATTCGGGGAGATTGAATCCTAATTCTGTAATTTCCAGATTGAAAATGACATTTTAAAGAATTTTATTCTTTTATTATGAAATAATTTCATAAATTATGAAAGTCAATGTGTGTCATTTTTACACTAAAAATACTTCGAAATACATATTTTGAGGATCGGAAATAAGAAAATATCTCGCTATAACGGGTTCAAAGGGTTCAAAATGAAGATTCTTCTTGTATATCAACAACGATCAAGACGTGAAAAGGAAATTCGGCCGTCCACGGGTCATTGAAACGAAAAAGACCACCGTAGTATAGAATTTTAGGGTGGAACGCGGGACGAGGAGGATTGTTGTGATATTGAGATGGGGTCTCCGCGAATTAGTGTTAGCTTCGGAGATTTTTCGTTGGAATAACGCGTTTCTGCTTGGAGAGCGTGTCGTTTGCGTCGGATTTATTTGTCTTGCTTTAAGACCCGGCTTCGCGGGAGTGACGTGAGACGAAGAACACTGATATCAGGATACGTTGAATATCCAAAGATTCTTCATTGAAGAGATGTTTCTCTACAAGAAGGCCCGCGCTCACGATTCATTTTTCTCGAGAAAACCGGCGGCAGGAAGCCGCGCTCCCTTTACCGGCTCGATTTAATTAACGAAACCGAGGAGGCATCCCCTTTGAGTCGGATTTATTTACCTTGCTCTAATTTTCGAATCGTAATTTGTATTATAATCGGAGAAATCGGCACGCTTCTTTGAGAGACTTGAAGAACTCAACGCGCATCCGATTGCCGCGATGACGTAAAGAACATGTCGCGTTGCATCGATAAATGATAAATACAAGACGAAATCGTTGACGTTGGTGCGATTAGTCTTAAACATATGTCACTCTACTTGAGCTCTACTTGAGCTCAATCCACTTTCTCGATCTGAACACTTTGACGGTCGTACTAATCGCAAAGAAATTTTCACCTGCCATCAGTAGATTTCGGAAGGCATAGATTTAAAAATAAATTATTTAGATCGTAATTAAATAAACGAGCGTTCTTTTCGCGCATACGTCTTTAAATCTATTTTCACACAGAAACTGAGAAAAAACTCGGCACTTGTAACCTTAATTACTCAGTCAACGGAACTGTTTTTGTAATGTTAATGATGATAATTTTATATGCATATCGCTATTACTATATTCTTTTAGAAGAAGACAAGATACTGAAAATGGTTAGCGCCGAAAATGACCAATTGATGAATTTTAACCACATTTACCATTGCATCTCTTCAGTCTATTCCCTATATCACAATTATAAATATTACAACAATTATTATCAACGAATATTGCTTTACAAAACGATAATCATTAGCAAAACGAACCGTCAAAGTGTGAAGAGCGAGAGAAATTTGCGCTTGCCCGGCTAACGAGCGACAAAACTGACTGCGTGATTTGCGTACAGGTGTGGTTCCAGAACAGGCGGGCCAAGTTCCGGCGGAACGAGAGGAGCTCAGCCCTGAGCCGCGGTGTCTCCGCCAGCAGGGAGATGGAGACCGCGTTACCGCTGCGGCCGATCCGGCTGCCACACTCGCAGCATGCCGAGAACAACGCGACGGAGCAGCCGTCTCAGCCTCCTCCTCCTCCACAGCCGCAGCCACCGCCGCCGCCGTCGTCGGCGAACGCGGCAACGACGGCCGCCCTGACGACCCAATACCCTTACGGCGACTACTGGAGAGCGGCGACGACGACGCAGCATTACGCGGTGCAGAGCGCGAATAGCGGCTGCCACGGCTTCGCCAACGGCGGTCTGGCGAACGTGAGCCTGCCGCCGCCATACCATCACCATCATCACCATCATCATCATCAGGCTGATCATATCCACAGCTCGCCGCTCGACGGACCCACCGTGAACAGCCTAAGCGCTCTGAGACTGCGGGCGCATCCTTACAGTGCGACCTACCCGCCGATGCACGCGAGCATGTGATGATCGTCGCGCACGATCGAGAATTCTCGGCGGTCCTCGAGAGAAGAGCGTACCGCGACTGACAACGACCGGATTGTCGAGGAAACCCGGGTTCGATGAAAGTTACGTCGCTCTGAACGAACTGAGGCTCTCCGGACGTTTCGCCGGGAGACTCGCGCGTCGTCTTGCAGAGGTATTTATACAAATGTTTTATCCTCGATTGAGACCAAAGATGTAAGTTTATGCGGTTACAAATTCGCGCGTGGATCATCGGGAGCCCGTGGCTGCCGATCGGATCCAAGTCGGTTACGATCGAGTCGGTGCCGTACAGAGCGCGTGCACCGGGACACGTTGGCGGGGTGTGCGAAGCGACAATTCGAACGGCGGTGCGTACTGTCGCTGTCGTTGTGAACGCAAAACACAAACACCCAGACGTCAATCGCACGTGCCTTCATGGGTGAGCATTATTATTAGGTTTAAACTGTAAGTTCTGAACGCACATAGGGTAACGAGTAAGCAATTCGCAGCGCGCTGCCTTCCCCGGGCCGATTCGTCGGCACGGTACAGCGATGGCGCCTTGAGTCATGGAACGTCATATTAGTTAAGTTAACGCAGTATACACAGAAAATGTTATTCTATACAAAGTTGTGGCCTTACGCGTATAAACACACGTACATATGTAGTATGTATAGGTATACGGTAAATAGATCAAGATAGTACCGTGCAATATAATATAAAAACATCGAAGTCAGAGAGAACGTACACGCAAGAGGATGTTTCCTCATCTTTTCTTCTTTCTCTCCTCTCTCTCTCTCTCTCTCTCTCTCTCTCTCTCTCTCTTTCTCTCTCTCTTTTTCAATATATGCAATAAGAAAAAGTACAATGTACAGAGATATACGTAACAAATACTTGTATATAGATATATGTACACATATCGAAATATTGGCACAGAATTAGAATATAGTCAGCTTGCGTACACGTTGGCCGCACGATCTCATCTCGTTTCGCGGATTCTGAGATACGGTATCCTCAATCCTCAGCGGGTACCATAAGGTTACCTCGGACATCATATGCATGCGATGTGCACGTTATTGAAAATGTCGTTAAAATTTAAAAGACTTACACATGAAATGATATGATTAAAACGCCTCTTAAAGATACCTCTTCAATTTTAACGATTTTTTCTTTTTGTTCTTCCGAAGGAAGGAGATCGTACGGACTCTGCGAGTCGCAGTAAAAGCTTAACGTTTATGATATCTGTTGAGGTTTGAGCATATATCATCTTGGGTCATATTTTAGATCGTAATGTCATTACATTCAATATGGTGGACGTGCCAAAACGACACGATCGTTTAGAAGACGGCTAAAAGACGCACAAGCGAGATGTCCGAAATTCCATTAGGCGTTTATGAGACGCCTCTTGAAGAATATCTTCATGTTTCTCGACGGCTCGTGTCGTCTTGGCGGAATGTTCAGGACTCTGAAATTATGGCACAACTTCAACATCGTGTGTACAAAAATCGGCATCTCGGCCTTCCTAACTTAACGATCCATTTAACCATTCATTCATCACTTCAATGTACACTTGTATAATCATTTCAAATCTCCGTCACTATACTGTTACTTGCACGTTCTGCACGACATTGCTCCAGTCGACCTTGGAGGGCACCAGATAGAAAGCCGGCGCGATCTTGCTGCCGCAAGGACATTGGCTGCCGGCGATCCAGCTGTACGAGCCAAGTTTCGTGTTGCATTTGGGACAGTTGAGTTTACCTTCCACTGCGTGTGTGATGTCGGGCATCCAGGCGAGCGGCTCGACAAAGTAAATCTTGTCGCAGAGCTCAGCACGCGTCACTGGCTCCTCTTTTTTCTGGAGCAACTTATTGCAATCTTCGACAGCGGCGACATCCTTTGCGCCACCTTTCGTGCCGCTACTGATGTGCCGCCAGATCTGTTTTTCGCGCGGCGCATGTGGCAAGATGTTGCTGGCACTGGCGACGATGCGACGACACTTCTTACAACGGTAGACCGTCGGCTCGGGACGTACCGTCGTCAACGCTGGATCTGGTTTCACCAAGTCGATACAGCTCTGCGGCAAAATACGCGCTTTGCGTACTTTGTCGGCTGCGATCTGTAACCGGTACATCTTGAACTGTACATTACTATTGTCGACGCCAAAGCCCATGTCCTCGTAAAGACGCAGCTGCGCCACGAAGCCGGGGTTCGGCCCGACAAAACGCCGCTTCGCCTTCACCGCATGGAACGCATCCGCGAAACTACTCTCGCGCTTTTTCATCATGTAAGCGATCACGACAGTGGCGGATCTAGACATGCCGAAGTAACAGTGCACCAACACCCGGCCGTTGGATTCTAGCGCACGGTCGATAAACTCGTATGAGTCCTCGAAGTGCGTGAGCAAGTCCTCACGTGGCATGTCCGTTACTTGGATGTACTTTGTGATCAAGTTAGGCAAGTGATCCTGGATTTTTCTTGGCAATGGGCATGAGTCCACCGTCAGTATATGAGTTATTGCAACCTCTTTCAACCAGTCAATGTCTGTGGCAGCTGTGAGATTGCCCAGGAAAAGACCAGGTTCAATCTCATCATAACTGCAAGGACCGGCATCAAAGTCTTCCCTTGTTAATTTATCCATATCGTTTTGTGTTGTCATGTTTGATATCCTGCAAACATAAACAAGCTACGACAGGCATCTCTAAACTCCAAATCTTGGAAAACTAAATTAGGTGCTAATTTACTTGTCATACATATGGGACAGTTGATGTTACAAATTATATTTAAATTGGAAAAGAAGCTATGTGGGATTTTAAATATAACTGTCTGAAGCATTCTGCTACATATTTACTTTTAATTCCAGCATCCTGTAACCCCTATTTCATGTTAACATTGAACATAATCCTTGTATAATAATCTCAAGGTCAAGAATAAGCTCAAGGTCTACTCTCAAATAGTAAATATAGTACTAGATAAATAGATCACATAAAGTATGAGAGTTTTACTTTTGAAAATAATCATCAATGTTATATATCTGTGGCAAATTGAGAATTACTATTAATTTTGTCTCTAATAAATAATATAAAGATATTACAGATATATCAATAGAGGCATAACATAACTGCGCCTAGTCTAAAGTGTGTAGTGTTGATAAAAATAAAATATACAACAATCAGTTGTCACTGAATGATGTAGTGAACAATTAGGCACAAATCAATAATTATAAAATATAAAACAAACTTGCCTGGACAAAGAAAGGGTTATCCTTGCCGACAAAAACATAGAATATGATATTAATGGCCATCAAATCTACTTTGGAATCATGCCTTATAGAGGGACATTATACTGTTTTCATTTAACTCACTTGCTGCGTGGAATTTTATCTAAAATATTTCGGGCAATAACAATAACACTTGTTCAATAGTATGAGTCGTCGTGTATTGATAATTGTCGAGAAAGGTGAATTTCACTTAAATCACTTAGTTATCTTGGAAAATATTGTTATATTTCACGACGCAACCGGCGATGTATACATTCTAACATGTGTCCCAACTATAGGCAACACCATCTCGATTATTTTGACATCGATTATATTTTTATCTTACAGAATCGATTATCGCATAATGTTTTGCATCTTGATTATTCCCTAGACGATTTTTTGTTCGATGTTACTAGAATCGTTTAATAGCAGCAGAGAGGAACGTGAGAGCGGCCAATACGGTGTTTTCGACGACACCGACTTTCCGCACTGGGAAAGGGCGCCATCTGCATCCATTTTGAGAGGGGAACTACGATGCTACATCCACTTCCAAGTTTCGGCGGTAAAACTTGTATGTGGTGGCAGTCCGTGCTACATCCGACAAGCACGATGTCGCACATTGTTACGCGTTTATAACATGAATTAACATGTTAACATGTGCAAAAAAAAGAATTGACATTGTGTATGATTAATATCATGAAGATCATACGAAGTGTCTGGTAATTAGCTGCCAACCCGAAGTGTGAAGGTAGATTGGGTTGAGACAAACATAAAAGTCCCATACCATTTTGTGAGATTCGCAATAATTATCGAGTTATTAATGGCAGAAATCTGAGGAGTAAAAGCGCGCTGACATAGATGATTCGAAAAGCGTTGTAGCTGCTCGGGGCAGCGATCATGAATCTTTTCCTTAGCGTGAACTAATAAAAAGTGAAAAACTTCTGTGAATCAGTGAAAAATGAAAAATTTTATATAAATTTATGAAAATCGAAACATTTCACACGACAATTGAGTCGTTCAACATGGCAGTTGCGCGTTCTGGGTAATTCAATGAATACCAAAGAAATCAAAATGATCAAAATAATAATGTCCGTGTAGTCCGAAGGATATTATCTGACACGCAAAATCCGTTTGATATAATATCCAAAGAAAATGTCTCAAAATATGTATGTACAGGTAATATAAACCTTATGCACCGACGAGATATACTACAAAGACTGATGGCCTTACGGGATTTAGCGTACCAGAAAATTTCCCTGGTGAGGTACCCAGGTGAAAGAGACCATCTCGCATTTAGCGCAGTAAAATTTAATGGAAACTAATACTTTTCAATCCTTTTCTTCGGATCAAAAAGATTCAGAAATCAGACATATTCAAAATGTCAATACTTTTTAATACGTTTCAATTTGACATTTTATACAGGGAAGCAGGACGAAGGGAATGGGATGCGGGTAACGATACATCATGCGTCTCCAGACGTGTCAAATCGTTTATTATAGAGGAGACTTTGATATAGCAACATGTATTCGAATATTTAATCGCCCCATGGACCACTTATATATAATAAAAAAAATAATTAACGTGGATAAATAAACGATTCGTATCAATTTTTCTTTTTCTTATAGAGCAATGAAAGAGTAAATCAGTATCGAAAATCGAATACCGATTAATACCATAAATGAGTGTCAGAAAATTGTCCAATGACAATTTGTCCTCATTTTTCAGGTAGTTACCGCTGTAATTTACATAACAAATTAACTCGGTTAAACGAACGATTCGTATCAATTTTTTTTCTCTTATAAAGAAATGAGAGAATAAATCAGTTCCGAATTTTTTTTTCTCTTATAAAGAATTTTTTTTCTCTTATAAAGAAATGAGAGAATAAATCAGTTCCGAAAATCGAAGGCCGATCAATACCTAATTTATACATCAAATTAACGCGGACTAATGGACGATTCGTATTAATTTTCTGTTTTCTTATAGAGAAATGAAAGAATAAATCAGTATCGAAAATCGAATATCGATCAATCAACCGTAAATCAACGTCAGAAAATTGTCCACGTGCAATTACAATTTGTTCTTATTTTTTAGGTATTTACCCCTCTAATTTACTTGAAACAAATTAACTTGAATAAACGAATGATTCGTATCAATTTTTCTTCTCTTATAAAGAAATGAAAAAATAAATCAGTACCGAAAATTGAAGACCGATCAATATTTAATTGTATGTATAGTTTATTGATTCCCCTGGTGGGGTTACAAATTCCAATATAATCTCTCCTTCTTACTTCCTATTACGCTCGCCCCTATCTCCTCGCACACACACACACACACATACATTCCCATCCTCCGCCCCTCCTTAAATCTACTTTACAAATATCTTACATCTACTCGCTCGCTTATCTCTTATAATTAATTGTTCGCTTATCATCTATTCTTATACATATGTATATATCTATATTTCTATGCCGCTGTTGCTCCTATAATTCTTATTTCCTACCGCCGATTTTCGCTTTCCTCCATTCATTTCATTCCTTCACACTTTCTCCTTCGCGCTCTCTCTCTCATCCATTTAATCCTCCTCGTCCTCCCTCTCGCTCCCCCCACTCCTCTACCTCTCTCATCCCCGCTCTCCCACCCACCTTTTCTAGCAGCCTTTCTACCACCTATCTCCATCCCTCTCCCTCTCTCCCCGCCATCGTGCACAATCAAATTAACGCGGATAAATGAACGATTCATATCAATTTGTTTTTTTGTAGAGAAATGAAAGAGTAAATCAGTACCGAAAATCGAATATTGATTACCATAAATACCATAAGTCAGTGTCAGAAAATTGTCCAAATGCAGTGACAATTTGTTCTTATTTTTCAGGTGCTTACCCCTCTAATTTATTCAACAAATTAACTCTGTTAAACGAACGATCCGTATCAATTTTTCTTTTCTTATAAAGAAATGAGAGAATAAATCAGTACCGAAAACCGAACACCGATCAATACCTAATTTTTTCATCAAATTAACGCGGATTAATGAACGATTCGTATTAATTCTCTGTTTTCTTATAGAGAAATGAAAGAGTAAATCAGTAAATCGAATATCGATTAATATTATAAATCAGTGTCAAAAAATTGCACACGTGCAATGACAATTTGTTCTTATTTTTCAGGTACATACCCCTCTTATCTTATTCAACAAATTAATTGAGATAAACGAACGATTCGTATCAATTTTTCTTGTCTTATAAAAAAATGAGAAAATAAATCAGTGCCGAAAATCGAAGACCATTCAATGTCTAATTTTTTCACCAAATTAACGCGGATAAGTAAACCATTCGTCTGAATTTTTTCTTTTCTTATAGAAAAATGAAAGGAGAAATCAGTACCGAAAATCGAATACCGATCAATATCGAATTTATTCATCAAATTAACGTGGATAAACAAACGATTTGTATCAACCTTTTTTTCTTTCATAGAGAAATCAAACACTAAATCAGTACCGAAAACCGGATATTGATCAATACTATAAATCAGCGTTAGAAAATTGTCTAAGTGCAATGACAAGTTGTTTTCATCTTGCAGGTACTTACCCCACTAATTTACTCAACAAATTAAGTCGAATAAAAAAAAGATTCATATCCATTTTTATTCTCTTATAAAGAAATTAGAGAATTAGTCAGTACCGAAAATTGAAGACCAATCAATATTTAATTTATTCATCAAATTAACGCGGATAAATGAACGATTCGTATGAATTTTTTTTCTTGTACAGAAATGGAAGAGCAAATCAGTACCGAAAATCGAATATCGATCAATACCGTAAATCAGTGTCAAAAAATTGTCCAAGTGCAATGACAATTTGTTCTCATTTTTCAGGTATTTATCCCTCTAATTTACTTAACAAATTAAGTCGGATAAAAGAACGATTCGTATCAATTCTTAATCTGTTATAAAGAAATTGAAGAATCAGTCAGTACCGAAAATTGAAGACCGATCAATAGTTAATTTATTCATCAAATTGACGCGGATAAATGAACGATTCGTATGAATTTTCTGTTTTCTTATAGAGAAATGAAAGAGTAAATCAGTACCGAAAATCGAATATGGATTAATACTATAAATCAGTGTCAAAAAATTGTCCAAGTGCAATGACAATTTGTTCTCATTTTTCAGGTACTTACCCCTCTAACCTTATTCAACAAATTAACTCGGATAAACGACCGATACGTATCAAATGTTTTTGTCTTATAAAACAATGAGAAAATAAATCAGTACCGAAAATCGAAGACCGTCCAATATCTAATTTTTCATCAAATTAACGCGGATAAATGAACAATTTGTATCAATCTTTTTTCTTTTATAGAGAAATCAAGACTAAATTAGTATCGAAAACCGGATATTGATTAATACTATAAATCAGAGTTAGAAAATTGTCTAAGTGCAATGACAATTGTTTTCACCTTGCAGGTACTTACCCCACTAATTTACTCAACAAATTAAGTCGGATAAAAGAACGATTCGTATCAATTTTTATTTTCTTATAAAGAAATTAGAGAATCAGTCAGTACCGAAAATGAAGACCGATCAATACGTAATTTTTCCATCAAATTAACGCGGATAAATGAACGATTCGTATTAATTTTCTGTTTTCTTATACAGAATGAAAGAGTAAATCAGTACCGAAAATCGAATATCGATTAATACCGTAAATAAGTGTCAGAAATTGTCCAAGTGCAATGACAATTTGTTCTTATTTTTCAGGTACTTACCCCTTTAATTTACTTAACAAATTAACTCTGTTAAACGAACGATCCGTATCAATTTTCTTTCTTATAAAGAAATGAGAGAATAAATCAGTACCGAAAACCGAAGACCGATCAATACGTAATTTTTCCATCAAATTAACGCGGATAAATGAACGATTCGTATTAATTTTCTGTTTTCTTATAGAGAAATGAAAGAATAAATCAGTACCGAAAATCGAATATGATTAATAAATACCATAAATCAGTGTCAGAAAATTGTCCAAGTGCAATGACAATTTGTTCTTATTTTTCAGGTACTTACCCCTTTTACTTAACAAATTAACTCTTTTAAACGAACGATCCGTATAAATTTTTCTTTTCTTATAAAGAAATGACAAAATAAATCAGTACCGAAAACCGAAGACCGATCAATACGTAATTTTTCCATCAAACAAACGCGGATAAATGAACGATTCGTATTAATTTTCTGTTTTCTTATAGAGAAATGAAAGAGTAAATCAGTACCGAAAATCGAATATCGATTAATACCGTAATCAGTG